ATTGTATATTTAATTAGTAAACAATGTATTTAAGCACACTCACCAATTAGCTGCAAGCAAAATGAGAAAAACCTATTCTTTTATCTTACAAAGGATTGCATTTCATTTGACTATCAGCAGCTCCAGTCAAATGGAGTCAATCGACGTCATTTCTTTTGCCCAGTTCATTCATTCATTCAGTGGCCGTTTCCAATGGCAACTTCATATGGCTTCGAATAGTTCACATAATCGTGGATCTAAATATTTATGTTCTACTATTACAATTACTCGATTACCTCTACCTGGGACTTTGCACCTCAATTGGACTTTGTGCTGCCGTGCCAATTACCTTGCCCGATTGCCGTTTAAAGAACTTTCCGACCCTCTCTCTATCACTAATGCTATATATTTTGCGTTGTTTTTCCGTTTTTTAGCCGATGTCAGTGAAATTGAAATTGAAATGAAAACGCCGTCAATATGCACAAATGCACTTTCAAGTTCGAGGTTGTTCATCCAGTTGTTGTTGTTGTTGTTGTTGTTTTTGTTTTTAGTTGATTTAGTCGCTGTTGTCAGTGTTGTTTTTCTCTCAGTTTCATTTCCAGTTAGTCGAGCGTGACGTTCAGCCCGTCTTTTGGCTCAATGATTTCCACAAATTGTATTTTATTTTAACTATTTTATTTATTGTTGTTGCAGTGCCATATGTGCTGAAAACTGTAAAAAAAAGTGGGAAACGCGCATCGACTAAAATACATAAAATTAATATATATGCATATATAAGTCGACAAGGAGCTGACGCTTAGTTTGACTTAAAATTCATTAAAAAACAATGTTTATATTTAAATACATTTGTAATACAGCGATAGGAAAATGTATTTTACATATATTTATATGTATACATATTTATGTAATATACATATTTATGTATACATATAAATATATGTAAAATACATTTTCCTATCGCTGTATTACAAATATACACAAGAGTAAGAAGTCGCTCGCAAACTTAAATATCAGACTTTATTTTTCATATATTTAGTTTGAAACTAGTTTATTTTATTCGACGTTTTCTTAACTTAAAATAAAATATATTTACTTCTATAGTATTACGAAATCCTACATCTCTAGAATCATCTAAAGGTTCACTTTAAAAATAGAAACAACTTAAAATTTGTAGAATAATAAAACCTTTGATTTATGTCCAGTTAATTTGAAATACTTTTAAAAATAGACAAATGGGTGGACAGACAGGCATACTATAAAGCATAGAGTCGTCATATGGAATTGTAATATAAAATGATATCATGAGCTATGAATTCAAATACCCGGCAAAGTTATTATATATACATCGATGTGAATACGTATATATATTCATGTTTACAACTGTTGCATATGCACTGTGTATAATTGCAATTGTTTTTGAATCAAAACAATTAAATAGTTTTAGTCAAGCAATTGAATGTAAATTGAAACCTGAACTTTGTAATGAAAAGCAAGAGAATTGAAATTTGTGGCATTTGATAGAGAACGTAAATGGGAATGATAAGCTAATGATCATTAATGGCGAAACGTATGAATATTAACTGACGTTAAACGACAATTAAATGCTTTCTTTAGCATAATGACAATTGACATTAGACCTGATGGTGATGATGATTATGATGTGAGAGCTTGAAGAGAAAGCATAAACAAAATTTTTAACTAGATCGAATTGACTAAATCAGTTTTTGCTCCGTTTATTCACTTGTTTCATCATTTTGGATATGGGGTCCAGGTTCGAGATAGTCGTTGTTGTTGTTGTTGTTGTTCTGGTACTCTAATAACATGTTGGACGCTAATCAAGTGATACGTGTGTCTCATTTCCTGATTGTCTTAATTCAGATTAGTGTATATACATGTGTGTGTGCGTGTGTGTGACTTTGTGTGTTTGCATTGCTGTTTAGCGAGATGATCGTGGTGGCCGTCGTCGTCGTCGTCTAAAAAAAAAAACAAGTGAGAATTTAGCAATCGGTACAATTGACTGCATAATACTTGTTCGCAGTTCAAAAAACTTGAAATTTTTGCATGAGACTATATAGTATATAGAGCTATTTCTATAGCAGGTCAACAATAATTCGCGATTGCGAAGCTTTTTTGATCGTAGCTTTGACGCAATGAGAGATAAAGAATTTTTTTTGTTTTTAGTTCTGCTACGATCTGTAGAGTAGTATATAAGTAATAGGAGACTAATCTGTAGAAAGGTATTCTATTATTTTCTCTTTTAGTTAGATATATTCTTTGATATTTTCTTCTCTCTATAAAACTGAGAGATCTAGTTTAAAATGATCTACTCTACAATACGATCTGAGCATACTTGTATAACTTTTATAAACTTACCTCCATGTGGCACCAATATGCCCTTTTGCATTATGTAAACGTGCAGCGGAAACCTTTGGTTCTTATGGTTCCACTCAGTTGCTGTCTGTTTGCAAATTTAACTTTGATCAGGGTCACGATCGTCGTCGTCGTCGTCGTCGTCGCTCATAAGTTTCGTTCAAAGTTCACAGCTCGCACTCAGCTACAATTGTGAGTGCTTATAAAATTATCTATGGAACAAGCTACTTCCCTTCTCCCTCTCCCTCTCTCTCTCGCTCAGTCACTCACTCACTCTCTCTTTCTGTTTGAATACAATTTTCATGCATTAGCATTAACAATCTGATTATTGCAATTGACTGCAATTGATTATTGTGTTTAGGCTTGTCACAAGGGATCATTTACAATTTAGGCTGTTCAAATACTTAGCTAATTAAATTGTCATTTGCAAATTAATTAATTATACTTATTTTGTAATTTTATTAATATTTGTTTAAAGCTAGTTTTTAAAGATAAATATGAAACTATGTACTTATGAAATATTTCAAAATTAAACTTTTTACACTTTGATTAGGCAAATCAATAGGATGTGATATGTAAGGAATATATAAAGACAACATATACAACAGATCTTAAAGATATATAATTATAAAATA